CTCGTGTAGCTTTGCGCGAAATTCAAAACAAAACAAATCTGAACAACAGTATTCGTATAAAATCCTGTTTCAGAACAAAACGTGTTACATGATGAACGACCATTTGGTATAAACTGAACGTAATAACAATACAAAAACAGAATCCATTTCTACACCAGATCAGTGCTTTTATGGGCCGGACGTGGACTAACAGCTGTCAGACTGTTGATCCGAAGATTTGTGATTCTGCTTCCGTTACCTCCGCACTTTGGAGCCGTGAGCTTATTATACGAGTGACGGTCAAATCTTACTATTCGATCAAAGAAGAGCAACTTAATTGAATAAATTTTGTTGCGTGAGATGTGAGAAGAACAAGTATGAATAATAATGAATAAATGGACACGTGTAAATGAAAACCTTTACTATTTTTATCCAAGCCTAAGAGCTGGCGGTGGATGCTGTAAACTGAATGCCTTCCATCATTCAAAATTAGAGAGGGTTATGTGTAAATAACTCTTATGTATCATTGCGCGAAATTCTGAAGCAAACAAACGAATTGTTACAACCTTGTAATTAGTGTAATCAACAAACGAATTGATACAACCTGGTAATTAGTGTGATCAACAAACGGATTGTTACAACTTGGTAATTATTGTGATCAACAAACGAATTGTTACAACCTGGTAATTAGTGTGATCAACAAACGGATTGTTACAACTTGGTAATTATTGTGATCAACAAACGAATTGTTACAACCTGGTAATTATTGTGATCAACCAACGAATTGTTACAACATGGTAATTATTGTGATCAACAAACGAATTGTTACAACCTGGTAATTAGTGTGATCAACAAACGAATTGTTACAACCTGGTAATTAGTGTGATCAACAAACGAATTGTTACAACCTGGTAATTAGTGTGATCAACAAACGAATTGTTACAACCTGGTAATTAGTATGATCAACAAACGAATTGTTACAACCTGGTAATTAGTGTGATCAAATAATTAACCATGTTTGACACGTATTTACCAAGCGCGTGCTTTAGACGTGAGTAAAGTGGCGTATCTAACGACATCTGGTTCTTAGTGAAACAGAATGTAGCGTCAAGTAAATGACAGGATGGCACCATAATACGTTGAATTTCACATGGTAATGTCGTTACAGGTTGTCGCAGCTGGTCGTGTTCTGTTCGACGAACGTGCATCTTGACAGTAGCCCTGCAGCGTGGTTTCCATTGCAAAAAAGGCTCCTTTGTGAAGCTGTCATGTCCAAAGCACGTCCTGTTTCATTTTCATAAGCCACCTATGGTGTAAGAGGACGACGCGATATCCCAGCACCTGTTTCAGAATTCTTATTCAACAGAAACCCTATAGCTACACAATAGGGTATCCAAAGGGAATGAAGCAAAAAATTTCAGCATTGCAATTCCAAAAACTTACTACTGACTGACTGACTGACTGTTAAGTAGATCAAATAAAGTAATAAGCAGAAATGTATACTTTGCGTTTAGAAGAGAAATAGCGAAATCTAGTTTAGTAGAATATAATTGTGGATATCGTCTAATATTTGAAGATATTACTCGTAATTGTTAGCTGTGTAGAATGTAGAAATTTATGTTGCTGATAAGGACACACGGTCAGACGTGGAAGTGAGTTTTACATATCACATAATAAGATTTTAACAGCTATTACTGACTCTTCCAGCTTCTCAACACTATAACTGTTCATCCTATCCGAGCTCTATCCTTCTGAGCACTAGTGCTTGATATCTAAATGGTGCCTGTAAAATATTAACACCACATAAAACCACACGTGCCACGTGTATATTCTTCAAAACACAGGTAACCTATAACAAAATAATGTGTATTGCTTCTTCATAGTACATGTGGCATATAAACCCCAGATTTATATGATGTTTTCAAGACATCTGTAGCATGTAACTCCTTCCATGTATTGTACCACCAGAATACCTGTAGTCTGTTGTCAAGACATCTCTATCTTGTAACTCCTTCCATGTATTGCACCACCAGAATACCTGTAGTCTGTTTTCAAGAAATCTGTAGCATGTAACTCCTTCCATGTATTGTACCACCAGAATACCTGTAGTCTGTTTTCAAGAAATCTGTAGCATGTAACTCCTTCCGTGTATTGTACCATCAGAATACCTGTAGTCTGTTTTCAAGACATCTGTAGCATGTAACTCCTTCCATGTATTGTATCATCAGAATACCTGTAGTCTGTTTTCAAGACATCTGTAGCATGTAACTCCTTCCATGTATTGTACCATCAGAATACCTGTAGTCTGTTTTCAAGACATCTGTAGCATGTAACTCCTTCCATGTATTGTACCATCAGAATACCTGTAGTCTGTTTTCAAGACATCTGTAGCCTGTAACTCCTTCCATGTATTGTACCATCAGAATCCTGTAGTCTGTTTTCAAGACATCTGTAGCATGTAACTCCTTCCATGTATTGTACCATCAGAATACCTGTAGTCTGTTTTCAAGACATCTGTAGCATGTAACTCCTTCCGTGTATTGTACCACCAGAATACCTGTAGTCTGTTTTCAAGACATATGAAGCATGTATCTCCTTCTGTGTATTGTACCATCAGAATACCTGTAGTCCGTTGTCAAGACATCTCTGACTTGTAACTCCTTCCATGTATTGCACCACCAGAATACCTGTAGTCTGTTTTCAAGATACATGAAGCACATATCTCCTTCTGTGTATTGTACCATCAGAATACCTGTAGTCTGTTTTCAAGACATCTCTAACTTGTAACTCCATCTGTGTATTGTACCATCAGAATACCAGGAGACTGTATGCAAGATATCTGTAACATGTATCTCATTCTGTGTATTGTACCATCAGAATACCTGGAGTCTGTGTTCAAGACATCTCTAACTTGTAACTCCTTATATATATTGTTCCATCAGCACACTTGTAGCCTGTACCCCTATCTTTCAAAGTTATTTCCAATATGTAACTTCGTGTGTTTCACGCTTTCAGAACAATATCATTTATTCCGATAGGATGCTTTTAAAGTACAGTTTAAATAAGTCATATATTCTTATATCTGGTGTCTAACCCCATTTCTACATGACGTTTTATTATACCAGTAGCACGTAATCTTAAGCTCCTAGAGGGTTAACTAAGTTATTGATACTGATGAGTAAGCGTCTGTTACAAACTGGTAATCTACTCTAAAAATACATCTTATTTTGTCCAATGTATCTCTATACACAGTAATAACTCAATAAAAGGTTTTGACAATAGTTTTTGTGCTTAATGTTTTCATTACAAAAGATATTTACCCTATAATTACAAGTATGAATCCCATCGGCTTTATAAAGACGTTTTCAAGTACAATTCATATGCCCAATTACTTATGTATGTCTGACATTTTTCATTGCACGGTCCTTAACGCTTTCGAAAGCG